GCCGTTATGTGCAAGGCATTCCCTCAGACACTTACCAACGCAGCCCGGGATTGGTTCTCCACATTAGAGCCCCACTCCGTATCTTCATTCTCAGATTTGGCGGATAAATTCTCCGCGTTCTTTGCTAGTAGCAAGCGCATCAGGAAGACGGCTGTGTCACTCATGCAGATGCGTCAGGGGCCCAGCGAAACACTTCGGAATTTCATGGCGAAGTTCAATAAGAAAAGGCTTATAATCCCCGATCTACACATCACAGCTGCCGTTTCTGCCCTAACCTATGCCGTAAGATGTGAGACGTTTTTGATTTCAGTCATTCACCATAAAATTTCTCTCAAGAAGTTTAACTGACTTAACCATCGGAGGGGCAACGAGGACACAACTCGCCGCCTTTGTTTCAGGTATCGAAGACCGGACTGCGTGGAATTCTCTCGTCTAGCTCGAATTCATCTAGGTACGAATTTTGGTAGNTTTATGCACTTTGTAAAAATTAAATTAAAAAAACAAAATGGTCGTGAAGATTATCAGTTTAAAAATGCTAATAATTTATTTGGTAAGGGACATTGAACTTAATGAAAAAAAAATATTTATTTATGCCTGGAAGAAAAGTCAACATTGGCCGAGATCTTGATCCTACAACCAAGACCCAGCTTGTTAGCTGTCTAGCTCGCAACCTTGATGTATTCGCTTGGAGTGTCGAAGACATGCTCGGAATAGACCCGAAGGTTGCAGTACACAGGCTCAACATAACCCCAGGTGCGAGACCAGTAAAGCAGAGAAGGAGACAGTTTGCACCCGAACGAAGGGAGGTCATACGGGAAGAAATTTCCAAGCTCGTCAAGGCAGATTTCATTCAGGAAGTTCATTATCCCGATTGGCTCGCCAACGTCGTTCTTGTGAAGAAAGCCAATGGGAAGTGGAGAGTGTGTATCGACTTTACATACTTGAACAAAGCGTGCCCTAAAGACAGCTATCCCCTACCTCGAATCGATAGTCTTGTAGACAGCACCTCAGGCCATAAGTTATACAGTTTCCTGGATGCATTCTCCAGATACCATCAAATTCTCATGTCGGAAGACGACCAAGAAAAGACCTCATTTATGGCAGATTCAGCCATTTACTGCTACAAAGTCAT